GTAAGCAAATCTTTATACAGATGAAAAGACAGGAAGAACGACAATGACACCTAGAGGAACACCTATCAGTATCCATGAAAGGCTTAGCAGGGCCCAGAGCAGCATAGCCATGCAGATAAGAAGCGAACACATTGGGTTCAATTCCTATCTGCACAGAAGAAAAGTGCCAGAAGTAGATAATCCACGATGTCAATGTGGATATCCGTCCCAGAATGTGAAGCATATGATCATGTCCTGCACCAGCTGGGCCAAAGGTAGAGGAGAAATACCGAGAAAGGCAGAAAACCGGTCATTTGAGGCCATGATGAATAATCCCACAGATAATGCAAGCATAACCAGATGGATCCAGCAGGAAGGAAGGCTAGAGCAGTTTTGACTGACGCTTGAAGTCGAGGCCACGATGAGGGATAGAGAGGGGAGTATGGGAACGATGGTCTCCTGCTAGTAACAATGAAGTGGACGATATCCGCACTGGATATAACAGTATTAGTGCACTTCGTGAAGGTAACACAAACTTAAAGTGTATATAAATTGAAAAGTTGAGGAGGGTTTTATCATAAAGGTTTCCTCCTATGTAAGTATTAGAATTCGTAGACACCTGCATGGGCCTTAAGGCGTCAAATCGGGCTAAATAAAATCAAATTCAAAAAAAACATCACAGTTAATGCGTTTCAATAGCAACAGTTACCACCCAAGATACTAATCAGTTGCTATGATACGGATGTAGACTATGGCACCACTGGTTATGGTAGCTGCTCTCATGCACTTAAGAGAGCTCTGAGACTGTGTTTGTACTGTAGCTTCTTGTCTTGTAATTTACCTACTTTCTCAAGCCTCAGCTTCGTCCTTGTCCTCCTCTCAGTCCTAGTCTTCGTCCACCGCCAGCGAGCCCTGACAGGGATCCCCATAATTCTCAGTAACTGATCGACGGTTCGATGAGTCAGCATGAGGCAAAAGCCGATGCGAAGGAACTCGCCATGAATTATTTTGAGCGTCTTCAATATTTTAAGGTTTTCTGGCTGGTTACAATATCCTGAAGCCTTGAAACTGCCTCATCAAAATCGAGTAAGTCAATATCTCTCTTGTGGATCAAACTTTTCTTCAACTCTAAGCTCGTGTTGTTTCGGATTAAATCTTTCAATTGATTATAGCCATAACCACTATACCCAGCGATGGCAGCATCGCGTCAAATCTCTGCAATCCAAGAAGCAAAACTTTTATTCCGTTGTTTAATTGAATAAATCCTAGACTTAGCACTACGAACACAATTAGGATCGTTAAATATCTTTGTTAATGTCTCCATCATTTCGGAAAACGAGGGAAATAGAATTATTCCATCTTTGATCCAACTGTGCAAGTGAGTTTGACAATTCGAGTGGAGCCTTGAATATACGTAAACCATCTTCGACTGCTCCGAAGGAAAATGGTCGTCATTGGCGTTGAGTTTGAGTAAGATGGCCTCCCTCCGTGATAAAGTCCTTCTTTAGCCCAGAGAAAACTGCAGGATCAGGAATTTCAATTGATTTTAAGGGCTTACTTGAATCGAGAGCTGCCCTTAACACACTTGCTAAAGGTTCGCTATTATCATCATGGCTGAACTGAGAGTATTCCTTCAGGTGATCAATTTCTTTTTTTTGCAGTTGTTCGCTCATTTTTGGCACCTTCTCTCAGTCGTCCTAAGTTCCTCACCACTTGGTATATCATCTTTGGATCAATCTTCACTCCTTCGACAAATTGTTCAATAGTTTTTATGTCTCCAAACTTTTTGGAAAATCTATTAACATACTCAGAGGACGACTTTTTTTTGGTTGAGATATTATGGTAATGTCAATAACAGGATTACTTTGGAGGGTGAGTAATTTGTTAAATTAATGGTGTAAAAGGACGAGAATCACGGACGCTGCACGCAAAGGCTGCCACAAAATAATCTGTATTTTCTATGAAGAGAACACTTCAGTGGGACAGAGCCAATGTAAGGTGTGTGCTGATGACAACATTACATAAGCACTTACTAAGCGTATAACCTGTTGCAATAGACAGACCTGTTTGCCACATCCCACTTCAATGCAAGGCTGGGCCCGTAAGTCAGCCCAGCCAACTGACACCAGGTAAAACCCGTAACAAATGGTTTAAGAGGTCGATGGGCATCTAGAGGTCCAAGAGTTGAAATGTCAAGAGTTCAGATGTTCAATAGATCAATTTGCAAAGGTATTCAAGTTTATCAAAAAGGTTCCTAAGATACATTACCATAATCTACCGGACTAAAGTTATCCCAATTACCCATTATATATTCCTCTCTATTGTTCTCGAACTTTCCAGTATACTTTCGTACAGAATAGAATAGTCTAGACAAGTACAGATCAGAACAGAACAGATTAGAATGGAATGAAGTAGAATACCTCAGATATCTTTGTACAGAGTTCCTGTTGACTCAGAATAGGCTCTTGGTCAGTGACATATTACACTCAAGATTGAATGAGCAACAATTCATCTCCCTTGTGACTAGAAGGTATGTAACAGATTTTAGCCTGTAGCTGTCGCCGGATCAATTGGTGTTGATTTACAGCAGAGCAAGTCCAGAATAAAATCAGTTAATTAACGAAATCTAAAGACAGAAGGTCTCCTACATCTTGCTATTTACATAAGAGATTTTAATTAACGACGCTGATCATAAAAGTCTCCGCTGCTTAGCAACCGTTCTCAATCCCCACCCTTGGTAGTCTCTAAAGCTGACTAGACCCTAGATTCCATCTCTACTGTACAGGCGCAGACAGTACACACATAAGGGAGTATTCCCGAAACAGTAGCCATGGAAGTGCCAAGCTTGCATCAATGTTTTCGAGCTTCTCATGTTGAGTAAAAGCCGGCAAAGACGAATTCTTCACCTTCCAGTGGTGCCGGTGCAATCGCTCAGTATGCTCTGCATATCTGGGATAGCCAAGAAGAATCGCATCCAAATTGAAGTCAAAAGCAACCTCCAGCACATCTCCATTTGACAACTTCTCGACAAGCCCGCTCTTACCATTCTCATCTGAGTCCTCAACCTCTATCCAACCACATATCATCTCGCCTCAATAACCAATAAAGAAGTTGCTCCAATTGCAGACAGGAGCTTGCCCCATTAGCTTCCAGCCATCTCTCACTACATATTTACGACGCTATTTATACCCGCAAGGAGGAAATCAAGTCGAAAAATAAACAGCCTGGGTCTTGGCTTATGGGGGACAAACAACTTGAGGGAGAACAGGCGGCTGAGGTGTGGAGCAAGAGGGGGAACAGGTCTCTGATGACCATGCTGGGACTAATATGTTCGAGGAGTTTCCAACTTTGGATTTTTTGTGGGCGCCAAGACCAAGATTTCGGCTAATTAGCCTGGAGTTCGTTTGTCGATGAGTCCACAGCACTCCCCAGCGCCCTGGACTGCACAAAAGAAGTTGGGTTAAGCTACTATACAGCCATCACGCTCTGTCAAGACTTTTCTGACATTTCACCACGACCTTCGGGAAGGAGTTGGAAGGAGGCAAGAAAGGCAGAGTGTGAATTTTCCGAGGTGCCCACAAATCTACAGCGCCCAGCTGGCCGGCCTCTTCGAACGCTTCGGGAGGGTCACTATGTCTTCGGATTTAGTCCTAATTTCGGTATTAGGAGAGCACCGCACCCAGTGGTTTTTGCGATTTTTCCCGGCTGCCATACACCCGCAAATGGCCATCGTTTTGTTGGCTGGTGAGGGTAGATAATGAAGGGCAAAGAGCTCCTCTAAATATATGATTGAATGAGGACTTGTGAGGGGTAGTACGCTTTGAGGGAAGCTGCATGGGAGGTATAGGAGGGGATATACTACTGGTATAGGTATCCTTGGCCTGTAGATAGAGAGGACCTGCATGTCCTACATAGTTACAGACTCAGAAAGGACAATAAAATGAAATAATTAAAAAAAACTACAATACGTTAATCTAGACTGACGTTGCGTAATTAATACACCCCGGATCTGTTTGTGCTGTGATTCACTTCTAGGTGCCAGGTCACCTGGACACACATGACCCCCAATCTAGCTGAGTGTAAGACAGAATCATGCATATACCATAATTTCCAAAATATCTTGTGTTAAGCGCCAAGACTAATTAATATTACAGAAAATAGATGTGGCGCAGTATTAAATGATACGAATAACTGAAACGAAAACGAGATAGTACATGACTAGTGTAACAGATGCAGGACTGTTAGAATTACAACAAATGAAAGAGGCGACTTTCTCCAACAAGCTTAAGACAGTTTATTTGAAGTAATGATGAACAGCCTAGAAGATTTAGCCAGAATCAAACAGTGGATACTAAGCAAAGGGTGCATAAAATAGTTTTGACTTGTAGGGAAAGTCGAAGTAGCAATGTCAGATATAATAGAACGATCTGGAAGAGGAGAGGACGGAATCCACACTGGCTGAACAGTGTTCACTGCACTTCCTATAGGTAAACTAAACAAATTGATAGTAATGTAGACAGACAGGATTAGGGGGTATTCACCAGATTAGTTTCTTCCTCTGTAAATATTATAGTTAGATATACCGGCATGGGCCCATAAGGTACTTGAACGTGCTAAATGAATTCAAATTCAATGTAAAAATACCTCAATTTCAAAATCTCAACATGGTTATTAGAGAATGGAACTCGACGTATTTAATCGGCCCTTATCGGCCCATGTTCATTTGCAATTAAAAGTGTATTAAATTTGCTAGCTGATAGAAGTGAAAGATTAATTTGCGTGGATTTATTTCAGGTAAAGGCGCCTATGGAGAAAGAATATTTAAAGCAAGAGGCCCACCACAGTTGTGATCACAGTAGGACCTTGCCCTTCTCTTCAGATCGTTCAGATAGCTCACAATCACAAAGTTATTTGTCAAAGCTGACGCTTAAAATACTACATTTTTGAGGTACCTAAACCGTCAAAGAAATTTATGACCCGGCTAAGACATGCTCAGCTTTTTTCAAGAATCTAATTTTTGAATGAAATTAATTCACATTATTTCATCCGTTGCAATTTTTGCTCTTCCGGCTCTAGCAGAAAATGATTGGAATTGTGGAACAAATACAATCTATGCAAACACAATAAATAGAGCTATGCATGACGTCTACTACGCCTATCGCAATCAACGATCTCTCCCACATTCAGATATTTCAGAAAGTATTATTTTCGTAGCTAAATTCAAAGTTCCCGAATTGAAACCTTAAGGTTTGTAAATTTACCTTGATTAGTCTTTCACAGCTGCTAATAAATTGATCCATGATAAGGAACTGAATTTAAGTTGGAATTTAACAAAGAATTTGAAATCAGCTCTTTCAAATATATTCATAACAGTAATCCTCAACCTTGCAGAGAACTATAAATTTCAACAATTCAGTTGTTTAATTGCTCTTGCCTGGCTTCTTTTGCAGCTGATTGTTAGAAATTGGGAGAGGACTACGTTGCGATAACAAAGGTCACACACTAAAAGCCTGGTATTTCATATCGGGATGACTCATCTGGCTAGTCTTATTCGGATTCGGTGGTTGTTGCATTGCGTTGACCAATTCTCTTGGTTTGTATATTCTTACACTCGGATAATGCATTGTCTGAATTAAAGAAAGATGGCAATTCTATGGCATCAAAGTTGGTTAGGCGCAGGTCAGCAAAATTTTCCTTTCTTTTTTTGGCTTCTAATCATGGAAGTTGGTGGCTAAAAAAGCTAGCTTCGGAGGGCAAGACTGAGCACCTGTACGCGGTGTCCTCTACAAACCTGAGAGTGACAATTTCTCCCAGAGCCAAGTTCAGTCAAATTTCGCAATACCAAAAAAGTTTGCCCACGAGGCAATGATTCAAAATACTCCAACATGTCAATATTTCACTCCCAACGAGATCAGCTTCTATCTACATCTCATCAGGTCTACAGATACAATCTAGTGCATCGTCATTCAAATGATCACACCTCTCGTCGACTCTCTCTGGCCTCAGCCGGTCACCAAACACACGCCCACGCCGATATTTACACCCGACAGAGGAAATAAAACGAGGCGCATAAATCTGGGAGACAGTTCTTTGGGATGCACGTGAGAGGGATTAGGACTAGTTCAATAGTCGATGCTAAGAAGGAAATAACCTCGACGGGCGTGAAATTTGGCAGGAGTCTTACGAGTTGAGATATGTGCGCGCCAAGGCTTCGCTTGATAGAATGCAGCTGACACTATTAACATAAGCCAACGATGGAAGGTGTTGTGGTCCGCCTCCTGGCGGTGCTCTCCGGTATATTCTGAAAAGCCTGGGCACCTAATCAACTTGGAAAGGAGACGCCTCAGACCATATTTCGCGCGGAAGAAAGTTGAAAGATGATGGAGGCATGTCTGGACAACTTAGGGTTTTAAGACGATCCCTTGGGTGGGTATTCACGGATGAGGGTTGACTTGGGGTGAAGAAAAAGCCGCCATAACTTCGCAGTGGTACTTGCAAATGAAATCCGAGGCATGAGTGCTCTTCCTTTGCGTTGAATCATCTATTCTGTACACTTCTTTGATATTGTGTCATAGCTAGATAGCTGCATACGCAATTAAAATCTGATGCAAAAAAAAACCTCATTGTCTCATATCCTACCACTTCTCACTCGATTCGCTATACCCGGGATCGCTACAATTCTCTCTACTTTGCTATCCTGCCATCTTGACAACCTAAAAATACGTATTACAGGTCCACTAGCTCCGAAGCTCAACACCATGATTCAACGGCACGCGGGCTAGGCTCTCCGATCACGAGGGTCTCTTGCAGTACCCCTTCGAAACACGTCTATCACACGCCTGGGGATTGAGATTAGCTGGCCGGTCGCAACTTTTTGGATTTGCCACAGACGGAGGGTGATTTCGGGAGGATTTGAGGTCTGGGAGAAGCGATCTGAGATAGTGTCACTGGCGGTACACTTTTGCCTGAATTGCTTTCTCGAGGTAGTGTGTCAAACTCGAGGGTACCAGGGGTTGTGTTTTATAGATAACTTAGAAGTGCGAGTGATATCTGACAAGATTTGTCATAGACTAAGGTATTAATTCGGGATTCTAGTTATAACTGAGGACAAGGGACAAGAGAAACTAGGACAAGAGACAAGGTCAATGGAAGACGGAAAACAAGACGTGGCCCTGTACATCGGCTCTACCCAACCCATATATACATCATAGTAACCAGAGCAACTAAGGCTTCAAGGAGTGCGCCTGCTGCTATTCTATTACTTCATTTGTAACCCATAGCAACCATTGTAACCCGGTAAACGCTCTAAGATGAGAGAATATTCAGATGTAGTGTAGGGAAAGAATATGAGGGTGCTGCTCTATCCTCAGTTCCTGACATAGTGTGTGGAATGAGGCGAGAGGTATTTATTGGTCTGACGAGAAAATGCTAGAGATGAGTACATTGGACGGTCTGGGGCAATTTATCTCTTTACTTCATGCTGTACTACTATATTCTAGCTTAGCACCATCTCATACTCTTAGGGAGGCTACTTGTTGAATGTTTGACGCTGTCAAGCAACTCAGGTCGAAAATCACTACTATTACTACAAGTGTTTGACCTACGGACAAGGGGCCATTTATTTGTTCACCATACACATACAGCGGTTCGCTAAGGTTTCTATTCAAGTAACATCCCTGCTGGTGAGATACCTGTCTTGCCTTGGAGGGCCATATTTGGGGTGGTGCGCCAGATTGTTAATGCCGCTAACATTGCTAGTAAAATAGTGGGATCAACGATTGTTGGAAATATCGCGCAATGAAATGGGCGCAATATTCACAGAACGAAAGTAGAAGTCGACTAAAAGAATGTCATATTCGGATTAAAGCTAAAAGTGTGGGAGATGTGCGCTACAAGTAAAAGTGGGGGACTATTCTCAACACCTGTCAGCGGTGTCCCCTACGAACCTCCAGCTCTCACTGTAGAGTCTGCAGAGCCGAGATTGAGTAACAAAGTCCTCACTTCGAAGAGGATTCCCAATCGCTTTCGCTATCAGATGGTAGGGTCGGAGCCCTACTCATCACCCACCCTTGATCATGGAGGAAAAGCCATCCGATGAGTTTCTGGAACGTACCCAGCACCCGATACGGAGATGGTGGATTGGATCAAGTCGGCCTCGACTGTTACAAAGAAGGGAGATATAGATGAATATGCGCACCTCATGTGGTCCCGGTGTCTAGGCCTTGCCTGGCTGGGGCTGCAGGTTTTTTGAGACTTTTTCCCGCGCACGCAGTTTCCATTGCTACCATTTTTATTTTTTTGGGTAGAAGGTTCCGTGGAAAAGGTGGCCGAATTCCACGGGCAAATACTGAGCTGAATGGCTATTCATCAAGGGGAATATATCAATGATCTTTCAAGTAACAAAAGAGGATAGGAGTGCTGTACAAGGTGCGGCCTGGGTCAGAGAGGAGCCCAATGTGCTAGATAGTCATCGACTCAAGTAGCACAATAAACACAAACACACAAACACACAAACACACACACCCACAATTTTTTGAAATTCGAATTTTCGAATATCCCCCTTTACCCCTTCTCTCTCCCTCTCGCGCTCGTCGCATCCCTTCAATAAATTGTAATCGAGTCACTGGCATTTTCGTCATGCCACCTGTTCGAAAAAAGCTCCCCAACTCAATGTTGGACAACGCGAGAGTCCGCCCGAGGGCTCCTGCAAAAACACCTGGCCTCGCGCAAAAATTATCAAGCCTATTTGCGAGTGAGGCCTTTGTCCCAGGGAAGTCCACAAATCTTCCCGATCAAGAGATGACTGATTCTGAACCGATCAGAGCAGAAAACAATGGTCCCAAGACCAAAACCCCCGTCGAACTGCCCCCTTTGGCAAGCAGCTCCAGGAAAGGAAAGGAAGTTGTTCGAGAAAAGACAACCGAACGTGCAGAATCATCTGCAGGAAACAATGCTGTGCCAGCCTCTAAAGGCGCAGCATCGACATCAGCAATGGAGTTTCCACCAGAGCTGCAATCAGTGATGGAGGCCGAAAAGCGTCGCACGACGCAAATAAACGCCCGACTCGCAATCTGCTCGACTGCAATCAGCGGTGTCGAAGCAGCACTTTCGCCTCTTTCGATTGGCGATAATAAAGAATTTGTAGACGGAATCAAAGTCTATCTTCGAGCAGCCATCGGCCAGTTCGTACAATCTGGCCCAGGGAGCACACCACCAGCTCTCCCAGCTCGCCCCGCCAACCCTCTTCCGCCGAGGGCACCAGAAATAAGGGTTCCTAACCCTCCAACAATCCAGGCTCCGGCCCCAAAGACAACTTGGGCCACCGTAGCTCGGGCAGGCCTAGTCAGTAGCGCTGGGCCATCGACAAAAAAGGCAGCACTACCCGCCCCCAAAGCAAAGAGTGCCAACTCGAGGACAAAAGCCGATTCACGACTTTTTCTGCGCCTTGACTACTTCCACCCCCACCGTCTCCTCTCCCCAGCTGGAGTAAGGCTAGCGGTGTCTCAGGCTCTGGGAACCGCTGCCAACAATATCACGTTGGTTCAGCGGGTAAAGACCGGCTTTGCAATAACCGCAAAGGATGAACTCGCTCGAACAGAGCTCCTAGATTCCTCTACATCACGGAGCGAATCTGGAATCAAACTGGAACCAGCATCAAATCTGGTTGCCATGCAAATTGCCACCGTCCCGGAGACAATTCGAACTCTTGCTGGCCCAATTGCTGTGACGGCAAAGATGGTTGCCGACGAAGTCACGCGAGTGACCCAGTTGGTTCCCTTTCTGGTTCGTCCTCATGGGACTAGCAAACCAGGGGCGCCCTACTCAAATTGGCAAGCGCTATTTCCTCGAGAATCCGCTCCTCGACCTGGATTCCGCCTTTTCGACGACTCTGGAGCTGCAAAGCTCTTCCGACCTCGTCGCAAAATCGAACAATGCAAACGGTGTCTTGAATTTCACGCGACCCGTGGTTGTTCCCGCGCTCCAGCTTGCTGGAATTGCGGATCTAATATGCACTCAGAATCAGAGTGCAAGGCCCTCACCCGGTGTCGAAACTGTGGGGGACCTCACCGATCGGATTCCCGGGCCTGCTTAGCCAGACCCAGCAAGTCCGGACCGGTGACAAAAGAGCAGCTCGCGCGGATCCGCCAGATCCAGCAAGGGGAGTTCGCGAAAGTGGCTCGATTTAGGGCTGCAGCCAAAAGGGCCGAAGAGGCAACGATGGCCTCAACGAAGGATGTCTCGATGG